AAAATTTATACAATTTATATGTACTATAAATAAAAGTTAAAACCCTCCTCATTTATTCGGGCTTGAAACCGAATACATTTTGAGATGCACCGTAGTCTGATAGAGTACTCGAACTACCCTTGAACTGATTAATCTCATCACTAGTAAAATTCATTTATAAGTATTATAGTAAAGAATATTGAATATTAGAGTAAAATAAACTGAATAAGAGTCTAAGACTGAGTGAAGAAATTAGAGATTGAAATTGAAATTGAAATTGAAAACTAAAACTCAACTAAATTGAAGATTAGAGTAAAGAAATTGGAGACTAGAATACTGAATAGAGAAAAGAAATTGGATGGATTGAAGTAAATTGATATGAAGTTGTAAAAAATTTTCGTGTATTTATAGCCAAAAAATGTATATGTTTTAACTACATTTGAATTTCAAGTTTTCAACAATTTTACATGTTTTGACAAAAGACGGTCAGTCAAACTGCCTGCAAGTGCAGGCAACTGTATGTTTGAATTTTTTTTTTTTAATGGACTCGGCTAGTGACACGGGTTGGCTCGGGCTCGAGCATTTTCCTCAAAATGGGGCTCGGCCGAGCCTCAAGCGGCTCGACTTGGGCTTTTTTCAAGCCGAGCCACAGATGGCTCAAACCGACGAGTCATTTTATCATTCCTATTTTTGCCTCATATCGCTCCGGGAAAAAACTGGGGCCCACTCAAAGTGGATCTAAGACAACAATAGAAATATTATCAGAACTTCAACGTTATACCTGTTTTTGAATTTAAAGCATCTAATTCTGAAGTCAAGTCAAATGGAGTAAGACTACAACTAGTAGTTATCACAAAAGATTGAACTTGGAAATTTCAAAGACACAGGTCAGCTATAGAATAAAATAATTCTCAGTATAAATGTAACTAAAAGGTATGTTTGAACTGAAATGTTTGGCTAAAGACTTAAATCTTTGTAGAACAATGAAACAGCAGAAGTGACGTGAAAATGAATCACGTAGCAAAATTTGAGGGTGCGTTTGGTTTGCATTTCATTTTTCCGTTTTGAATTCATTTTTTGTTTTTTGTTTTGAGAGATTACTTTAAGATTGCAGAAAACCCGTTTGATTTATTATTTCAAAAAATTGTTTCTCAAAACAAAAAACTAGAAAACACATTTGGTTTAAAATTTTTAGAAATAACTTTATGACAATTTTTTTTATTAATTAATTTGATTATTTAGTGAAACATAACAATTTTATGCTTATATATGATCATTTAGTTTTGTGGGTATTTGTATTTGGGTAGATTTTGTGTGATTTTATTAATTATTTTAATTTGAGAAATGTTCGGGCTCATTTTCCTTGTTTTGAGTTGAACATTTTCATGGAAAACACTCAAAACGTCAAAAGGTCATCTTTCAGTTTTATGTTGTAAATTTTTCCTTATTTTTGAAAACTCATTTTTTGAAAATAATGTACCAAACACGATTTTAATGTTTTAGAAAATTGAAAATGGCGTTAAAACGGCAAACCAAACGCACTCTAAATTTCTCAAGATGAAGGTTTGTAGGTATTGTCGAACATATATTAAAAGTATGCTAAAATAAGAATAATATCATCGAGTGTTGAACTATCTCGTATAAAAGTATGAACGATATACATTCAAATCCCCTTTCACATGCTTATTTTTCCATCAAAGGCCACTATATCGAGACTTGGCTCAAAGCTCAAAACTTTTATATTCTCGAATACCTTGTTTCACCATTTCATCTAAAACCGACGTTACAAGATTCATGACAGTGTCTAATCTTTTGTTCTTGGGTAAATTTGAAAGAATGGGAAAGATTGAAAAAAGTAAGCAGATGGTGGATTTTAGCTACTCCACAAATGTCTGCTGGTGTCCAACTCCTTGTAAGTGTCTTGTAGCAAAAATGCATAAAAATTAAAGATTCCTCTCTGCTTTTTCTTCCTAAATCAATGCAAGAAAGAATTCAATTTTACAAGGCTTTAACAAAGTAGTGACAGTAAGAAGTACAATACTTGCAATTCACTGCATTTTCCCATGCTCCATTAAATTCTAGTACATCTCTATATCTAGTTATCCCCTTTTGTTCTCTGCTCATTTTCTCGTCCCAATAAATTTGGAGTCGGCTCAATGATGTCCCTACTCCCTTACCAACTTCCCATTATTCTCTCCAGAATTCCTATCTTTTTCTGGTGAACAAAACAACATATTTGCAGTTGGTTACCTTCTTTCCCTTCTTCTTCCTTGTCAAATAGGGGTCTCTTCAGCGTGCAGTGCTGAAGTGTTTTTAATTCTTTAAACAATGAGCTGCAGCAGAACCAGAAGAAAGACTAATCTTTTTTTCAGTTCATTTTTACTTTTTCTTCTGTTCCTCATGGTTCCTGCTCTTGGCCTCAACTTAGATGGAAGTCTTTTGCTTTCTTTCAAGTACTCTATTCTAAGTGACCCTTTATCAGTTCTTGACAATTGGGACTACAATGATGTTACACCATGTTTATGGACTGGTGTAACTTGTGCTCAAGTTGAAACCTTGACCAGTGCCCCAGATATGTTTCGAGTCATTAGCCTAGTACTCCCAAACTCCAAACTCCTTGGAACAATCCCAGAAGATTTAGGATTCATTCAACATCTCCAGACAATTGATCTTTCCAACAATTTCTTGAATGGAACTCTCCCGAGATCAGTTTTCAATGCTTCAGAACTTAAGGTTCTTTCTCTGTCCAACAATTCAATTTCTGGTGGACTTCAAGAATTCACTGTAAGAGGTAACAATCTGAAGGTTCTTAATCTCTCCGAAAATGCATTGGCCGGAAATATTCCGAAGAGTTTAACTTCTTTGCAGAATCTGACAGTGGTTTCTTTGAGAAGTAACTATTTTTCAGGCCTGATTCCAGGGGGAGTTCGGTATATTGAAGTCCTGGATTTTTCTTCCAATTTGTTTAATGGATCATTGCCTGTTGAATTTGGTGGGGAAAATTTGAGATACTTGAATCTTTCTTTCAACAAGCTTTCTGGATTATTACCTTCAGATTTTGCGAAAAAAATCCCGGCAAACGCGACTATGGATCTTTCTTTCAATAGCTTGACAGGAGAAATCCCGGAATCAATGGCCCTGTTTAACCAGAAAACTGATTCTTATGCAGGAAATATAGATCTCTGTGGGAAGCCACTCAAAAAGATTTGTACAATTCCCTCAACACTGTCGAATCCACCCAATGTTTCTACGAACACTTCTGCTCCTGCAATTGCAGCCATACCAAAAACAATCGGCTCGACCCCCCTGCCAAATTCTCCTGGAACAACTTCAAATGTAGCTCAGGATCCACCACAACATGGATTAAAACCTGGAGTAATAGCAGGAATTGCGGTTGGCGACTTAGCCTGTATTGGAGTTCTTGCAATAGTCCTCCTTTATGTGTATAAATTGAAGAAGATAAAGGCAGAATCTGCAGATAAAAATACTCCAGTAGTCAGTGTACATCAGTTCAAGAAAAATTCAGAACCACCAGTAGAGAAAGAAGCACGAAATATTTCAACTTGGTCGTGCCTAAGTATCCAGAATGGCGAAGAAACATCGGAAGCCACAGGATCAGACAGTGGTGACTACAATGACAGGCATAGCCATGCCATTGATGATCAAGTAGATAATGAAAAGCAGCAGACTGAGAAAAACAAGAATCAGAGGTCCCTTGTGATGGTTGATGGGGAGACGGAACTTGAACTCGAGACACTGTTAAAAGCTTCGGCTTATATACTAGGATCTAGTAGTGCTAGTATAGTATACAAAGCTGTGCTTCAAGATGGAACATCATTTGCTGTTAGGAGAATCGGAGACAGTGGAGTCGAAAAACTTAAGGAATTCGAGAATCAAGTTAAGATCATTGCGAAGTTACGTCATCCCAATTTAGTTCCTGTAAGAGGGTTCTACTGGGGAGATGTTGAAAAGCTTGTAATCTATGACTATGTCTCCAGTCGAAGCTTGGCCAATGTTGGTTTCAGTAAGTTTTTAATTTTCCACGAAATCTACCTATTTCTGAATTTTTATTATCAATTTCATATTATAATTTTCTGCCTGATTTTCATAATATTATGTATGCATTTCAAAACCTGTTTTTGCAAAAATTTCAGCCAGTATTTTCTCTCAAATTTTTTGCACTTTTATTATTGTTTTGTAGTATTGACATCAGTTTTTTCAGAAGTTGCTAAAAAAATGTTCTGAGTATGTAGTCCCATATCTTTCGTGCCAAGTCTGGTTGATTTTGTTCCTGATTTTTCCAATAAATTTGGGACCATGAGTAGTATTTTTAATTATTTTCAGATACAATTAAGTTACCAACAAAATTGAGACCACTCCTGTGGTACATATGTTGATCCCAAAAGGTCATCCATGTGAAGGAAATAACTCCGAAAATGACTGTCCATAGAAAACACATAATAAGACGAGACATTTGCAATCATAGAAAAGACATAATAAGACAGAGACATTTGCAACATTAACTCATAGTTCTGTCTATAATACATAGTCACAGGCTTAACAGTAGTCGATAGTATTAAGGAAGAAAAATAAACTAAAATCGTGTTCATTACTGCATCCAAAACACGCACTTAACTGTGTTATTAATTAAAGGGCATCTTTCTTTTCAGGAAAAGCCGGTTCGTCTCCATATCATTTGCCTTTCGAAGTCCGTCTTAGGATTGCGAAAGGAGTTGCCAGGGGACTGACTTACATCCATGAGAAGAAACATGTACATGGCAATATCAAGCCTAGCAACATTCTGTTGACAGCAGAAATGGAGCCTGTGATCAGTGATTTAGGACTCCATTGGCTTATATATGGCAAGCATAGCCACAAATCAGACAGTTCTACTGGGCATTACGGTAGCAAGAGATCAACATCTTCACACGATAACGTACATGATCATCAGTCGGTTAATGGAAGCCCCTACATTGCTCCTGTAGGCTTTGTTGGGTGCACGTCCCCATATCATGCACCGGAGTCACTCAAAAACCTCAAGCCTAATCCCAAGTGGGATGTTTATTCCTTTGGAATTTTGTTGCTTGAGCTTATAACAGGAAAAGTATTTTCCGACCGAGAGTTGAGCCAATGGACCACCGATTTGGTTGTCCATGATCCAACCCGGGTTTTAAGGATGGCTAACATGGCAATAAGGGGTGATGTAGCAATCCGAGAGGAAGTCACGTTATCGTGGTTTAAGCTCGGGTTTTCTTGTGCTTCATTGATTCCACAGAAAAGACCTTCCATGAAAGATGCATTACATGTCCTAGAAAAAATGACATAAGGCCATCCCTTTGTTCTCTTTTGACTTGGAATATTTGGTGCACAATGAAGGGAATGAATCTTGTTATTAACTGATGAAAAGTTTTAAGTTTTATTGATCAATCAAATTGCTGGTACTATGTATGATGTTTTCTTGGGATGGTCTTTTCTTTGTCATTGAAATTTTTGCATGCCAAAGAAGTTGATTAACAATTGTCATAAAAAGAAAAGAAAGCTGATTGATTGATGGTAAGAGAAGCATGTGACTTAAACCTTTTTTTTGTTTGTTTTCTGGTTGATCTTAATACAAATCCACTAACAGCCTGCTTGTGAACATTCAATAATCACATGACACACACACGATATTGGATTTAATTTGTAAAATTGTCCAAAAGTTGTTCTTTTATTAAAAAAACAATCTAAATAGCAACTTTTAAAAAAATGAATATGATAGAATTTCTCAATACTCGTGAAACTTATCCCCTTACTTCAACGCATTCCAACATAGTGTGAATTTCAGTCAAAAAGGGGGAAAAGAGGTTGGAGTGGAAATGTAAAAGGGATATAAATTGGGGATGATTGCTGCAATTAGTCCTCATACACTAAAATAAAAAATAAAAAATAAAAAAAGAGGAAATTGCAAAAAATGTTCACTTTTACATGGTCATTTACAAAAATGTCCATAATTTCTTCAATGTCCATATTAGTATCATATAGACCAAAATGCCTCATTAACAATTTTAAATTCCACAATAAAAACAAAATTATTTATATAATTAAAAATTGTATTGACCAATAATAACTTGACACGTAACTATACTACTTATTTTAAAAAGTACTATGCCAATTATGCATGAAATGCTCACTTCTTCCTATAAGTGAGTAAATAAAACATTTATAAAATGTCGAAAAGTACACTCTAAATGTCAAGAACATTATGAAATATAGAGAACTCTAATGTTCAGAACTAAATATCGTTCTAAACATATGAAGTGTTCAAAATAAACATGGTCAAAATGTCGATAACAGCTTTTAAAATGTCGAGAACTTCATGAAATGTCAAGAATAACAACTATAACTTATCAACAAAGACAAGATTCTAAAGAAAAATTACATTCTACCGAGATTTCTGGAAAGTCTAATCAACTGCAAATTTGGACGTGATTAAATTTTTCGAAATGAAATTATGAGGGTGTTTGATGGGGATTAAAATTAGATCTTTAGTGAATTCTAATAGAAGTTTTTGAAATGTGTGGTTGAAAAAATGTGGGACCTGGGACCCATGAAAGATATGGTTAATATTGATTGTTTGACCTT